ATATTCAATCCCCCCCTTTTCTGTAGTCTTTACTCGACTGAAGAAAACAAAACTTGCATGACTAATTTTTACAGTACATCTGGCTTCAGCCCTCTCTCTCTCCCTCTCCTCTCTCTCTCTCCCTCTTTCTCTCTCTCTCTCTTTTGTCCACTCCAGTTATGCAGTCGGCCGCTGGAATCTCTAACACGCTGTTGACTTCTGCACTGTTTGTCCTTTTCCAGATTAACGCCATGCCGATATTTTCATATTTGCTAAATGGCTCTTACAGACGCGATTTGAGGACATCACTCAGTCGGACAGTTAATGAATTTGTTCTATTGATTGCCATGCCTGGGAGCCCCGGCTGGGAAATATGAAGTGTCAAGTGCTCATTAATTCTGGAGAGAGGTTTGCAAACATCATTGACTCAATCCATTACACAAAGTCCACATATAATTGACCTCGTGGCTCATTGCTTCTAAAGTTGAAAGTTCTAGTTTTTGTCAGTGAAAGTATGATTATTCAGTCGTCTGAGTGGGGGGCGGGGGGGCGCGGGGGGGGGGGATGTCCTCTGAAGGTCTCTATCTCTGCGGCGGGATCTGGTCACCAAGTGAAAGGTTCTACTGGATGTTCATTTTCATGCCTGCTTAAAAGAAAAAGGCTAAAAGTAGCAGTTTTGATGATGAGAAAAGCCTGAAGCATTTCAAAACCGTGTTTATTCATATGCACTTACATCAAAGGCCTCTTTGTGTTTCTCATAATTTCGCTTGGCAGTTTCCTCACAACTCTGCAGAACGTAGAGAGTTGAGGAAAAAAAAAGAGATGTGGAAAATAATTGGGCTTAAAAATGGATGGATATTTTCCTTTTATGTTGTAATGTAAAGAGATCTTTAATTGTGCTCGGGCGCCGAGATATCCCAAAAATCTCAGCTTCCATCATCTCGCTGAGGACTCACAAATTGTGCTTTCTTCATGAAAAAAGTGCCGACTGTTTATATTCCGCTCTCGTTCCCAGTCGAGTTGAACGCGGACAAGCTGCACAGAATAAATCTTTTCTAAGCATCAGATGTCATTCCCAATGCTTCCGGCTTGATGCTGTACAATCTATTCATGTCGAATCTATGCTGCTTCTTTGACTCATGTAATCATCAAAAAACATGTTCTTTGTGCCTCGTGCAGTGACAACCGCTTTGTCAGAGGAAATCTCTCAGGAGCTTTCATGAAAACATTTTGCACTTTTTGTCACTTTAAAGTATCTTTTCTCTTGGCGGTAATGCTCAGTGTCTGCTGCCTGAATTGGATGTTACACACCTTCAGAGTGGAGCAGTAACAAACACCACTGACAGTGACTCACAGGTAGCCCCCTCATACCCACAGCTTGGTCAGAGACTTGCACTTTTAGCTTTCCATGAGAACACCATGGATCTTAACGTGCAGGTCATTAAAAGTCATTTAATTAACATTTAACATGACACGTTTCTCACAGAAGTGTGCCTCATTACCAAATGCAAATGATAGCTTCTTACATCATCATCAAACCTTTTCATATCATAGACTGTTTATAGGAAGTGGACTTTGCAGTGTCTTGAACTTGCATCATTAACACAGACCAGCAGAGTAGAGATGGGACTGATCTGATCTTTTATCTGCATTGAGTTCGATATTGACATATTTTTTTGCACTCCCACTGTTTTCTTTGTACCAAGATAGAGGTGCTGGATGCGGTAACAGCTAAGACCCCTGAGGTAGGTTATATTATCAGTTATCAGGTCGTCTTACCTGAGCACTTGTCCTTTCAGTATTGCAGAAGTAACCCTCTACATCTCACTGTGCACCAGAGATGCTGATGTGTATCCACCTGCTCATCCAAACTTCTGTCCTTAAACAAAAGCTGGTAACATAAACATTGAACAAGTCTAGACTACAAAATCAGATTCCATGAATCCAAACGGGCTGAAACAAAGGCTATGCACCTTTTTTTTGTTTACAGTATTTAAGCTGTCTTAAAGTTTTTAATATAAAAATATAAAGATTAAAGTTTTCCCAGACACACATCATTATATCGGGATATAATGATGTTGATGTGAAGAGAGCCGATGATATAACATTTAAATAGACTGATGTAACTTAAAGATGGTTGTACTGTTACTTAAAGTTAACCAAATCATGAACAAAACAAAACATCCATATTTCAGTTCTCTATCTTAAATGATTTGTGTGAGTCCAAATTAGGTTAAACAAATAAATACAGTAGTTGGCCCAGGAGGTAATTTGTGTGCGTGCGTGCGTGTGGACAGACATGTTGTAGCAGACACTAAACTTTGAGCTAAATCAAAAGAAATAACTGAAGTGGATTAAGTTCATCATCGTCTGAAGTTATGGGAAGTTTAAATAGGAAATAAAACCTCTGATTTACGTTGGACCCTGCGATGACACAACAACCTTTTCAGTGTTTGGCTCCTGTCATGTTTGCTTGTACCTTCTTATTATACCTAAAAAACAATTATATTTGAACCTCTCACCTGCTGACTCACTTTGTCTCACTAAGTTGGTGACACTCTTCGCTTCTTATGCTTGAGACTTTAAAATATCTCAACTGTCAACTCAGAAGGAATAATCCTCCTGTCCTTATTACAGCGCTACTAACAAAAAAAAAAACTCACTGTCTACTCTTTCATTTTAAAAATACACCAGGTGTTTCATATTTCATCACTCTTATTGGACGTTCACTTTTCTGTGTGCCTGGAACTTCTCTCCCGCTCTCAACACACGCACTCACTCCAGTCCCATCCAGTCTCATGGTGCATTCAGGTGGTGTCGGAGACATCGGAAAAAGATGTTTCGTGGTAGTAAAATGCACATGAGCACCTGCTCGAGTCGGCACAATAACTCGGAAACTCTGAAAAGAAGTAGGTGACAGATTTCCTGACTTGACTTCAGAATCGTTCACAAACACACACACACACACACACACACACACACACACACACACACACACACACACACACACACACACATACTCACACATACTCACACATACTCACACACTGCCTCTCACAAACCCTTCACTCTCTTCTGGGACAATGATGTGGGCGAGTGACACTTGTGTAAGAGACTGGGAGATAAGTGAGGGCAGTCGATGTCAGAATAAGTACTATGATTAAAATGTTTGTATTGGTATGTATTTAAATGGGCCAATGTGTTTGCAGAAATGGAGTCATTGTGTTGAGATGGATTTTCTTTTCTTCTGAATTGTGGTTAAAAGTTCAGAGATTGAAATAAGATTAGCTGGAAGCTTGGTTTAACCTTGGTGTGTTGACCTCAATTTATTTTGTATTGTGGGGAACGGAGAGAATGTGGTCATAATCTGCAGCCCCTGAGTGTTAATACCAGATGTAATCGTTTGTCTGTCGCCCAGTTCTGTGGACCAGAGTGTCTTCAGTGCTCCGGTACATGTAAAGTATAGACTGAAAATCATCACATGTCGAGGCTGTGAATTGAGTTTATTAGACCTTCAGCTTGCTTGTCTCACTCTTCCATGAGCAAAAGCCAATGAGTGTATTGAACCATGCTGTTACTGTCAAGACTTAACCTTTAGTTATGTGCCTCGCAGGTTTCAAAAAAACTAATTTAAAATATATGTTTTAGATGTGATTTAGGCAGCTGTGGCTCAGTGGTAGAGTTGGTCACCTCTCAACCGGAAGGTCAGGGGTTTGATCCCCAGCTGCTGCAGCCACATGACTGATGTGTCCTTGGTCAAGACACTTAACCCCAAGATATAATCAATATCTGACATGATGATATTGCTTTGTTCATTTTAAAGGTGCATACAGCAGTAGTTCATTATGGATTATGGATGTGAAATATAATCCAAATGGTGTTTTGTTTTGATGCTGAACTTGTTCTTCCATGATCTTATTATTGGATCATTAAATCCTCGACCAGGAATGTGCAACTTTAAATCGATTCTCACTTTTAGAGGGCCAAACTGTTAGAAATATATAAAAAATAAATCTGAATTAAACCATCCTAATGACCTAATGAACTAAAAGGAATAAATATGAAGCTTTTCATCAGAATGTGTGATTCAAACAATTAGGAAAGCTCAAATTAATGAGCATAAAACTGAATAAAAGCCACCTTAAACAACTTCAGTTTCAGTGCTGTGGACAAAGTATTTAATGCTTATTAAAGCATAGTTAACGTCTTTAATTTTTTCAAATGCATTCAGTAATGCTTCCTAAAAACGTTTTACAGAAACAATAACGGCCATTTTTATCTTCTAACTTCTTGCAAAAGAAAAAAACAAATTCCAGAAGAAAAAAAAAAAAACATGAAAGGCCTATTTCATGGTGTATTGTGTCTTTTTGGAAACTAAGGTTGAAATCCACAGTTTTTCTATTGCTATTTGAAATTGACTGAGAGCTGCTTTGAGGGTCGGGGGGGAGGGGGTGTATGTGTCCTCCAGGCTGCTCATCCTAGACTCTCAAAAGTCTTAAATGAAAGTGGTTACTGTCTGAATTCATTGAATCTCTCATTTTATATGAAACAAGATTTATTTTATTTGACACTTGCTGTGTTGCAGTCAAGACCACACTAACCGAAACATACCTGAGACCAGTGCTCTGGGACCGTGACAGACCAAGAAAGACATTTAGGGGGCCGAGACTGAGTCAAGACCCAGACCAAGACCAAAACCATAAATATCACTGATCATCTTGAAATTCTGAATGACCTGAAGTTATTTGTTCTTTTAGAAAGAGGTGGTGGTCTTGACTGGTGTCGATTCAAAATCCTAAATCTGCCCAGTCTGAGACCGAGACAAGCCCAATTGACTCCGAGATGAGATTTACACATTCAAGAAGAGGTCTCTGGACCGGTCTTGATAACAAGACCAATTTGGAGTCCTACAACACTAGACAACACCACCCATCACCTCTGTTATGTAAACACTTGTACACATGTAATCAGCATACATTTTTGGATTTTATTGAAATCTTTCATTTTTGTTTTGTTTGCAGGAGAGCTGTACATCGGTGGCGTGATCAAGAACATGTACAGTAATCTGCCCAAGCTGATTGCGTCCCGGGACGGGTACCAGGGCTGCCTGGCATCCGTGGACCTGAATGGGAGACTCCCCGACCTGATGGCGGATGCCCTCCACAGGGTGGGCCAGGTGGAACGAGGCTGCGACGGTAAGAGGATCTGACTATCACATACACACCTTGTGGCCACAGTCGATTTTATTTCAAAATGCCAAAGTGGGTTCTGCAAAAAAACAAATTCTCTCGTTCTGTGAATCATCAGGCAAATCAAACCACACTGATTGCAAGTGGTTGTTTGGTTATCTAGTGTCTGATCTGCAGCGTTCTCGGTGTGAGTAACAATCATTTCTCACGGAGAATGACATCTTTGTATTGATTTCTAAACAAGCTTAGCTCAGTTTGGGTGGATGGAAGATGATTATAAGGATGATTAGGGTTGTTTATTTGTGTCTGTCATTTAGATGGAGAGGGACAAAATCACAGCTAACATTCAATGATTGTCAGATATTTGAACTCCCAAACAAAAACACTTTTGTATGCACACAACGTTTTTCTCTGCTTCAAAATACCATTGTTCCTTTGTCATTGTGACCTATGAATTGCATGGTGGTCTTGCTCCACTACAAGACCACAGAACAGTTTGTAAAGACCCACCAGTTCATTAATTCACTGCATCACGATGGGGCTGATATTCCTGAGTAACCCCGCCCCAGATTCCCCCAGCTCTGGACGTCTTTACAATCTCAGCTCCTGTCCTCTGTGTATCCTCTTTCCTGCCCTATAAAACCTGCATCAGGGGGGTATCTCTTCTCTCTCTTGTCATTTTCAGTGTGGCTAATCTGAGGGACTCCCCGCCCTCGTTGGCTTTTGCCTCATCAATATTACATTTGTTGTATTTTTACCCTTTTTATTTGCCCCCTGTCTCAGGCTTCATGGCTCCAGTGGCTCATACTTAATCCTGAGTATAACAGTAGATTTTTGACTATAGCTTCCCCCCCACACTCTTTAGCCCCCCCTCTCCACTGTGTCTCAACTGTGTGCTGAGTGTTGGAGAGCACAGACTTGATTTCCCTGAGGGCTGCACTGGCCGACTCAATGCAGCACTGATCCAAGTTTTTTTTTTCTTCCCTCTTTCCCTCCCTTTTCGATCCCTAACGGTGCTACTTCTGCTATTCAGCCTTATTACCTGCCTACAGTTATATGCCACAGTGACTTGGCTCCAAACACAGTTTAAAACTGCATTAAGCTATCATACTGACTCCCACAGGCTACTGAAATGGATGCTAATATTAGTTAATGATTGCATGTGCCAGGGAGCTAAGCAGTTGTAATTGACCAGTCTTGGAAGGACGGACCTCTTTGACAAATAATAATAACCAGACCCTGAGGCTTGCACATTTGCATATTCCCTTATGATATTAGTGGAATATATCAGAAACAGTTGACGGCTCTGGTTTTTTGTCTCAATTCTTTGTCATAATAGAAAAATATTAGACCATAGAAAGCTTGAATGGTGTGCAGCAGTCGGGGATGTATTATCATCCATCAAGCAGACAAAAACTCCAGCAAACCTCTGAGGTCTCTCTGAGAAGAACTGATCGTATCTGTCCTGTTGTGTGTTATTGAAGGGACATAACCAGCCACCTCCACATAGTCCATGCTGGTTGCGTTAAGGAGCAGTTTGCTCCCATCTAGTCATGATTGTGTTTCCGCGGCCTGTCTCAGGAGTGATGGGAATTCAATTCAGTTCAATTCAGTTCAATTCAATTCAATTCAATTCAATTCAATTCAAATTCAATTCAAAAAACTTAATTTGTCCCCGGGGGGCAATTCAAAGGCACACAGAGCAGTAAATTAACAACAGTGCAGGTAAACAAAACATTTTAACCTAAATATAAAGTGTCAATTTAAATACAACTTAAAGCTTAAACTTAACTTAAAAATACAAAATATAAAAGAGTAGATATAAGTGGACAGTGATCAGACTAACAGATGTAAACAGATGTAACCAGAACTATGTGCAGTAAACGAGAAATATATATATATACAGAGCTATGTGCAAGTAGGCACAGGATAGTAGGATAGGAGGCAGCCATCATGAGTATGCGTACTGTATGTCTAAATTAAAAAAATACTTTATCTCCAGCCTTTGAGTTTCACCCCACTACATTGACTGCACCTGGGTTTTTTTCTTCTTTACTTTTTAGCGAACCATCAAACTTCAATGAACAGTCCAGGCTTTTATTTACCTCATGCTATGAAATGACCCAGCATTATATCTGGACAGATGTCAATACGAGACGGGCTTTTGATTTTTTCCAAACACAACTTGTGTACAGAAAAGATGGGGAAGATTCTAAAGTTGTAAATTAACACCAGAAAGAATATATAAATGTGCACAAAATTAGGATTTCGATACATTTTTAAATTAAAATGTTTGACTTATTTGCTCTTGCTTTGTAAGACAGCCCACTTGATCTCAAAATAAGCAACACAGTGCATAGCGGCCTCTAGGTGAGAGCTGCCGTTAATTGTCAAAACGTGCAGCTACACAAGGCTAGTTAAAGGGACTGGGCCTTAAATTGGGATGAGCTTTTACGTTTTATTTTTACGGTATATGATTCTTAAACACATAGTTTATGGTTTTGATTCTTTAACACACAGTTTATAATTAAGCATGTTAACTTAGCTTTAGCATGATGTAAGATAAGATAATACTTTATTGATCCCCACAGGGGAAATTCGGGCATTGCAGAAGCAAAACAGAGAAAGAAGTACTACAAAATACACAGGATAGATAAGATATATGATATGTGTGCATATTTATTTCTTAAGAGTTTCTACACAGTTGGCATCCTATTTAAAAAAATAAAAATAAAATAGATGTGTTTTGGGACTTTTTGTGTCTTTATTGTAGAGATAGGACAGTGGATAGAGTCGGAAATCAGGGAGAGAAAAAGAGAGTAGGGAATGACATGCAGGAAAGGAGCCACAGTTTGGATTTGAACCTGGGCCGCACACTTGGAGGACTACAGCCTCCATACATGGGGCGTGCGCACTAACCACTGCACCACCAGCGCCCCCATTTGATCTACTTTTTTTCTATTCAGAATATTAATACAAGTATTCGTTTACTTTACATGTACAATAGATGCCATCCTGTGATTTCAGCTCTGTAAAGTGAAACTTTTACATCTGATAGTTTTCTAGTGTTGATTGATCTTCAACAGTCGATCGAATCTCTGAATTCTGAGTTTCCTGAAATGCACTTTTTTTGTCTGGATATGAATCTGTGCCAAAGTCCTGACCGACTTGCTTCTAAGGTCATTTCTAGTTCGTGGAGTGAGGGTAAAAAAAAAAGGGGTCCCTCCGGACTAAAGGCCAGACAAACAAAGGGCAGAACATTGAGCTTGTTCTTGTAAGTCTCTACTGACTCAGCGGATTAAAAAACAAAACAACAGGACGGGGAGAGAGGGAAGAAAACTGAGACCAGGAGAGTAGGTGCAGGTACATAAACAGTGCTGCTGACTCACTGGAGCTCAACAGGGGGAGGCACAAGGAAATGAGGCCAGAGACTGGAAGAAACATCTAAATACTTATAGTGTTTGTAGCTGCAGAGGATGGGTACACATATTGTAGCAGGGAAAGCAGCAAATAAAAACACAGTTTAAATGCTTTCCAAGATGATTAAGAAGAAAAACACATGCATTTATAGATTATATCTAAAGTGCAAGTTTAGAAAATGTACCATGAGAAATTCCCAGCCACTCTCACACCTTGGTTCAGGTGGTGGTCGCTGCAGGCTGAAGATGCTTCAGACATCCCTCTCTCCAGCAGCGTTTTCTGTAAGCTTTTCCCGGGGGATTCAGGGACTCCCAGGACAGACGAGATACGTAATCCCTCCAGCATGTTCTGGGTCAACCTGCAAAGTCTCCTACCAGTCAGGAGTGCCCGTAAAAAAAAAAAAAACTCCAAAGGCACCCACAAGGCATCCTAATCAGATGACCTGAACAACCTTAGCTTGCTTCTTTAGCAGTCCAGTTGTCTGACCTCCTAACTTGTCTCTAAGGGCTTCAGCTGCATTCACATGGATTCAGGCGGACGGCAGACAACAGGCAGGCATCACAGTCTAGACGGCACTGGAAATACAGTATGAAATAATGGCAGAACGTGCTCCATCCGGGGGTTCATATTGTTAAAAAATAATGAAATAAGTTAAAGTGATTGTAAACACATTTGTCTCCAGCAAGGACAAATAAACACACAGTTGCTTTATCCCTTTTTTCATGTTTTTTTTCCCCCACCATTATATTTGCTTTGTGGTCCAGATTACAGAAATGGTGTCTCCCTTGGTAATAGAGAACAGAATCAGTCCCAGAGAGCAGCAAACAGTTGAAATGTTCTTATTTTGAACCGAAGTGGGGCTTTATCTATTTTTAACATCTTATCTCTTTTTCACTAAAGCATCATCCAGTTACATTTCTGATGTGTTGCCCAATTCTATTCTTTGAATTGCTGTGATTTGCATTTGTCTATTTTTGAGAGTGAGAGTTGTTGTTTGTCCTGTAGTTTATTTTTATTGGCAGTAAATATTTAGTGTACTCTTCTTTTTGTGCAGCTGAGCAGGTTCTGTTTAAACATTTAGAATCTTGTGTTTTTGCAGGAACACTATGAATGCTATGAGTTAAAAAAAATGTCCCAATGCAGAGTAGGAAAACACCCGACATCATCTGTTTTATTCCCACAACTTTTCTCTCAAGATGCAAGGCCTGAAGATTGGTCTGTGATTATAAAACTGTCCTTGTTCATTCCAAATTGACCTTGAACCAACGGGCAACCTTCAGTGTTGGACTTACAAAAAAAACTGTAGTTCCTTGAGTGTCCCCTTGAGGCTGAAGAATCCCCTGCAGATCTCTTATTAAAATGCTAATTTTCTAAGTTTTCTGCCTGGTTCAAAAAAGAATTTAGCATCATAAGCCCCCTTCTTTATTTGTTCACACTGTCAGGGATATATCTATTTTTAGAACACATCAGTTTGTATTGTATTTACACCTAGAGTTATGCTCAAATTTGCATAATTAGGGGCGGGCTGAGTTGACTGTCAGAAGGTGCATAGTAGCTGTTTGCCATGAGGCTTAAGGCCTGCCTCAACTCCACCTCTTTGCCTGTTGCTAGCTTGGTCAAAAGTTAGTATTTTCAATATAGCGACCGTTATGGTTGGTCTTCAAAATGCTTCTTCAGAAACCAGTGGCTGATGTCACTTAGAGTACGTCCATGTTCCCTTTTAATTTCCCCTTTTTCTGGGGGTCTTATACCCAATGCAAATCTCAGTTTTCCTCTGTCCAGCTCGCTGTATGTGATCAGACTATACTCAACAATCAGAAGTGGTTGACAAGTGCTCTCCACCTGTCAAGTTTTATATAGATTTTTACAATTCTAGCATGCCAAAATAAAAACATTACAAATAACAAAAACTGTCGGCTCCAATAAATACGGTGAGCTTTGTACGCTTTGCATCCTGCAGGTTGCAAAAGGTTGCTCTGTGTGATCAGTCCTGAAGTAAGCAGATGTTTGAGTTGTCATCCAGCTGTGACACATAAACGCAGGTGACAGCGGTGTTTGTTCAATTAGCATGTTTGTGTTTTGTCCTACCAGCTCGCTATTTTTTTCCTAAAAAAATTATTTAAAGCAAACAAAGCAGATGGAGTGTAACGCTTCAACAAACCCAAGGCACCTAATAACAGGTTCTCAGGCAGCTGCACAAAGGTAGTGTTTTAGCCAATCAATAGCTGAAGGAAGCATGAGGAAGTGATTACATGACTCTTATTAATTATGACAATATGCTTCATTAGCTCCTCCAGGGAACCTTTTATTAGTGAGTAATTAATGGGCCAATTAGAACTACTAACAGAGCACACATTGACATTGAATTTAAGAGGACATATCGGAGCAGAAAGTTAAACCTCTAACAGATTTATTTTTTTGTTTTTGTTTGTTTGTGTTTATTATTTACTTGCTGTCTTTTTCAGGGGGGTCTTTTCTTTTAATTGGGCCGTTCGTAAATGGCACAGTAAGATGTCTGTTTGTCTAAGCGACGTCAAATTAGTCTAGCGCTGAACCAAGGGTCTTTGGAAATGTTTGTGTTTTAATTGCAATTTTAAAGAGAATCCCCGCCACCAGCATGACAACACGACAGCCACATCACACGCTTAGTTTTAGAACAAGACTTTCTGCCCACGGCTTGATCTGCATCCTAATCTCAAATCTATCAGTCGGCTTTGTCCTCGTCTAATTTCTGAGAACAATCGTCGGAATCAGGTTTCGTTTGGAGGAAAGCCAGTGGTTATCTTGTTTGTATTTTCCATCAAATTAACTTCTTGTAATAAGATAGGTAACAAAGGCAAACACTTGAGTCATTGGCCATATTATGCCCGTTAATAGGACAAAGCCTGGAAGGTCACTAGTATGTGTAATCTGGATTGAAAATATGAGTTCTTGGAGCGCTCCGTCATATTACCCGTGTGAATAAGTAACTGGAACGCCTTAGAGAAATTACAACAGCGGCGCTTCTAATTGACAATTTAAAATGTCTCCAGCCATCCATGAAAGAGTAAGGCACGCAACAACAGCAGAGAGCATCCCCACAACACACACTACACTAACACAGACTAGAGAGATATGCTGTACCCAGACTGACTCAAGCACCACTCATTTACAATCGTGCCCTGAGCCGGCCAATCACAGCAGGTTTTTAACCTTTAATTTAACATTTAATCATAATCCATTCATGAACGGCTTTAATCCAATCAATGATTCCTTTTGTTATGCTTTTGATTGGATGTTTAGCTTGCGTACTTGGTTTCTGGTTATCTGGTCTTTTGAGAAGAGAAAACTATCGACCCATTGGTTTCTGAAGAGGCGTTTTGAAGCCAAACTATGGTTGTCGCCATATTGGAAATGCTATCTTAACCACACTTTCAGTGAAAAGTAACAGCCAAAGAGGTGGAGTTAAAAAAAGTGCTTAAGAAAAATAAATAACTAAATTAGTCATTTGTGTATAACTCATGTGGGCCTTTAAAGAGGTCAAAAAAACTGGTGGTGGTATTAAACCAGCAGAGCAACTAAAGCAACCAAGATTTCACATAGAGGATCCTTAATCCCCCTATGATGTCTGCGCACTTGTTAAGGTCCTTTTGTAGGAAGCCAAGCTCCGCCCCCAACCCCATCTTTGGTTAAACCAGGAAGTAGACACAGCAGTCAGGTAACTCAAAGGAAAAGATGAATGTATTAATCTCAACACCTTAAAGTAAAAAACAAATCGAAGATGCAGCATTTTGATTGATTTATTCTGTGGACTTAATCAAATATAATTTGCGATGTAAATTTAAGTGACTTAAAATGAAGACAACATCATGTGAGTGTGGAGGCATATAGCCTCCTTTTGAGTGGCCGAGTCCATCACAGGCTTCAACAATGTAAGTTCAGTTTTATAAATAATCCCCAATCTGTACCAATACTTGAGCTATTGACACTTTATTAATGTTTTGAACCAGTGTATACATGTTTATTTCTGGTGTAAATGTGATGGGAATTTTAATAAAATTACATATTTGGATTCCTTGTGCTGCCAGCCTCTGGTGGTCACTCATGGAACTGCAGGTTTTTTTTGCACTTCCACCTAAGGTTGCCCCACGGTTGGAAGTTGACTGCCAGCAGAGCTGCGAGAGGGTCATGCCTCTGGGTCTGCAGAAGATGCAATAAAACTTGAACATGTAACTCATTAAACACGCTGAACATGTTTCTGTTTCTTCAGGACCGAGTACCACCTGTACGGAGGAGTCCTGCTACCATCAGGGGGTGTGTCTCCAGCAGTGGGAGGGCTTCACCTGCGACTGCACCATGACGTCCTATGGAGGATCATTCTGCAATGACCGTAAGTCAAACATTCTTAACGTTTCCTTGGTTTGAATGTGTGCTGCTGGAGTAAGTGGATTGTTGCTAGATGGAGAGCTGATGCTAGGACTCAAGCTTAAGCATTGCACTGGATATTGAGGCTGACAAGATGGTTTCATTCAGACTTTAAGTTAATGTGTATTTAAACACAGGACTACAAACAAGCTACATTTTAAGATCCAAATATTACTCGACAAGCCCTCATTATCTCACTTTGCAGGGGCAACAAGCAACGCACTACACCCAACATTCACTCAGGTAAATATATTTGCACCTGAGCGATATCCATAGTTACACTTCATGGACTGTAAAACTTATATTTCACCGTGTTGTTGGCTTGTCAGCTCCCTGAGGCACTGTTCCCACATGCTGTGAGGAGAAGTAGTGATTTTAGTCCTGTGTACCTGCCATGTGACCCCCTGCTGGGTGGCTGGCAGAGAGGGAGTTCAGGAAAAGGAAGTGTGGAGAGGGGGAGCAATAGAGATGCATTGCAAGTGTGTTTTTCTCAAAGACAATTTATAGGTTGTCACTTTGTATTTGTCGCACTGTAAAAGCAGCTGATGATTGGACTGAGTGCCAGGTTATTTTCCATTTAGGTGAAAACAAGCTGCATTGGAAAGGCTTCATGTTTTCACTTTGCTTTTTAAGAAATTAATTGTTTGGACTTCTTGTCAGGAAACTTGGCCGCATTGCAAAAGCATTATGTCAAAAGAAAACCAACTGTGAAGTTTGATTGATTTCCTATTTGCCAGGGTGTCTGGTTAAGTTGAACTTCAGTACGAGTGGAGGGATGTCTTTCATGTTTTAGAATAGCGCAAGAGTTACTGCACTCTCTGGACCTGGAAGCAGAGCCTTTTCACTCCAAACTTGTCAAATACAGCAGCTTTTCTGCCCTGCTTTGCCAAAATACAAACCTGTTGTTAAGCACCTAGTAGCGTTTCCGTCCAGTTTGTCACTGTCTTGATGTGGCGCTGGAGTTGAGCTGGAGAGTTAACTTTAGGGTTTGATAATACAGTGATACAAAAAAGAACATGGACGTAGTCTCAGTGAAGTCACCCATCTGTTTCTAAAGAGGTATTATGAAGCCAAACAATGGCGGCCGCAATGTTGGAAATGTTGACTCAACCTAAACTTCCATCAATCTAGAAACAGGCAGAGACGGGCTTTAAGTCTTTTGGCAAAAAGCTACGACGTGTCAATCTGTTTGTCAAATCCGCCATGCCCCAAATTATGCAAATATATGAATTTTTCTTATATTGGAAATCATGAACAATCCATTTCAACATTCGGCCACACCTCTGCACAGGGTGCAACAATAAAGACATTTTTTTTTGAAAATGTACTTTTATTTTTAACCAGTCTGTAAACTTGTTAAAGCTGTAGACATCTGCACTAGAGGAATCAGCCTCAAGTGGACATTTGATGAACTGCAGTTTGTGCATTTTTTTAAACCGTGGAGTTTGTCGCATGGGTTTAATCTCTGAATGACTCAAACATAAAATTTGAGTTTTGGGGCACAGTTTGAGCTCTGTTGGGAGAGAACATTGCAGTCCAAGCCCTTTCCTCCCAACATTTCCTGTCTGCCTTCCTGTCTCGCATGTTTTAACAGAAATCAAATTACTCCCTAACCTTTGACATCTTAAAGCTCCTGTGAGCAGTAATTAGTTGTTTGTGAAACAGGCTGAAATTAATACAGGTGCCTTATTATGACTTGCAAAAGCAAACAAGACCATCAGCAACAATTCAGCTTGTTCTTTATTTGTTATTATTAAGCCCCGAAAGTTGGGTAGGTGTCAGATGACCTGCATGCCGCACAAGTTTCACACTTTTCATGGCAAAGATTCCCGATCAATGATGTTGGGAAAAGTGAAAAGAAAGCAAGATTATATTAGTTAGGAATAACTGCTTACACATGTAAAGAACCAAATCTCTGAAGAGATAAGAGGTGCAGCTTTGTCCACAGGGGGCGCCTCATTTGTCACAAACTAAAAAGTTCCTCACAGGAGCTTTATATGAAGTGAGTACTTTGATTAGTTAAACTCATTTAAAGACCAAACCTGGGGCCGTCTGCTTGGAGAGGACCACATCCCTTGTACCAGGGGCAGGCACACTAACCACTTAGCTACCAGCGACCTGTCAGTTAAACTTTGTTTGTTATTTCTGCCCCGCTAAAATCCTAAAATCAACTCTTACGAGTCTAATTTTGAAAAGTTAAAGACATATAACTTATTTATAATGGATACATAGACCTCTTTATGTTAAAATTCTAACTTCATTTTGCATGTTAAAAATAGCTAAGTTGACCGCTAAGCCCCTGCACATGCCAAAGTGATGCTAGTGATAGCTAAGTCGTCACATTTTGAAGCTAAAGGCCACTGAAGCTGCTGTAATTTACAAAAGGTTGAGTGAGAATGTTTCCAAATGCAGAAATGTTCAACTTGATTCTGAATTCAATATTGAAAAAGATGAGCATATGTTAACTTTAACAGCAGTTCAGACTATATTTATTGTGCAGTGAGCTTTTCTTACACATAGCTCATGTACAATTAGCATTCAGCAGTCCTCACAGACTCCATTTAAAGAGGGGCAGAGGCTGGGTGACGGGTTAATAGACTTGTTTGCACTAGTCTTTCTTTGCTTATTAAGTAGTGGGTTTCTTTTAAGCCACTGTGTGTTTCACTCGTGTTGGCGTGTCTTTTGATTGTCGTTGCCCTTGTGATGTTGCCTGCCATGTTGGCGAGAAAAGGAATATGAGCGGGCTTGACAGTAAGGGGATGATTAGCAAGTTGCTCCTTTGGCTCGAGCGAGGATAAGGCGAGAAGTGCTCTTTCAGCGTGACAGCCGCGCTGTGATAAGCAGAGAGATCCCTCGCTGCTTGAGAGGGGCAGAGCAAATGATGAAGAGAGATGAGGGAAAGAAGAGGGGGGCACTGAATGTTGCATCGGAGTTGTTGCCTGTGGGGAGCGTTAGCAGCTTTTTTTCGGTGCTGGTTTTCAAAGTCGACAGGTAGATGTGTAAGGCACTGGGGGAGCAAACAAAGGTGTGTTCTGTTGAACCACCTGAGCGATGTGTCTGGCAGGAGTGAATGTGTTGATTGGAGGAAAGGAGCCAAACAGCAGCCTGAACAAAGACACTGTAAAAATGCAGACAGTTACTTCTAAATATTTAGATTTCCATTCAAATCTTGGACATATTAGTTTCAACGCTGATATTACATTCAGGTATTCAGAATGTTCCACACTTTGATACTATTGGATACCATGTGATTTAAAATGGTGCCATATGTCAGTAACCAAAAGTACCAAAGCTTTAAAAAAAACTACAGATCTTAAGCCTTTATTTTTAACCAAAAGCTGCCTTCAAAGAGAGAGAGAAAGAGCACTGTCTAAAAAACAGAAAAAACATTGGCTATGTTTCTGTACTGAAACATTGCCAATGTTTTTTATGCAAGCAACACACTGTGCAGAAGTTTGGCTGCAATTTTTGCTAATTAAAAACCAAGAAATTACCCAAAGATGACTACTTGGGACTTCTCTTATTGTTGCTGTGGTGTCGAAATAGCTATTAGTAAAGTTTGATTTTTACTAGTTTTATATAGAAGTTTAAAATTCTTCATGACAAATATATATATATATATTTTTTTTTTTAAACATACAGTTCTATGGCTGCTGTTTAAAGTTCACTCCTCCTGCTGTGTTTGTTTTTTCATCTTGTGCTGTGTTTTCTTGTTGAGATGTTGACATACTACAGTATAACACATGCACAATTACTGTGACTGATTTCACACTTGCATTTACATGTTTATATCAAAATTCATAAAAAAAAAAAGACTGCTGTGAGGCTCTTGTGCATCAGAGACCTCAGAGGTATTTCTTTGTCCTGAGGGGGGCGCCAAAATCAACCCAAACAAAAGTTCCTCTCGGGGGCTTTAATCAAAGTTAAGCTGCACGTTGAATTTAACTGGGGCAGCGAAATCTCATCTTTCAAAATAAGGTGCACACACAATGCGTTATACAACATTATGTCAGCCTCTCGAACACTGTGCATGCATTGCTATGGCCGCTTTCTTTCGCAGAGTGCTCGTTCCCTCCTCTCTTCTGCAGCTCCACATCTCAAGACCAACTCTTCTCTCTTTATTTCTGCCAACTTGAATTATTCCAAAGAACACATTTCATCTCTTGACCTCAAGAGCCCGCCTCAACTTTACCTCTTTGGCTCCTTCTCTTCATCGTATTCTCTTTCTTCTTCTTCTTCTTCTTCTTTGCGTTTTCAACTCCTCTCTCATGGAACAAGAAGCCGTGTATCCTTGAGCCTCTTCTGTGCTTACACAATCACTGATTCAACATGATTTCTGAACTTGCCAACCTTTCTGGGAATTTTCCTCCTGCCTGCTGTGAAAACCAAGGTAGGACACGTTATACAAGGTAGCATTTTTTAATTTTTGTGTGTAATGGATCTTCCAGGTCTGGAGGTTCTGCATCTTGAAAAAAAATCCAAGATCAAAAAGCTTTCTCCCTTTCCGCCGCCCTGTGCCCTTGATCTTTTCCTCTACATATGTGACTTGGAGAGCTTTGAAAAAAGGTTTAATTCCTTGTAGACTTCTCCATGTAATTATCTTCCTGCAGCCTCTGAAATGAAAAAGCTTGTACCCTACTTTCCTGTGCCTGCGTTCAAAATGAGCCGGAGCGCCGGGATAAACAGGTGTGTGTGGGGGGGGGGTGTTGCATCTCTTTGTAGCTTTTATGAAAGGTAGGTTGCATGTCATCAAAAGAAGGGGCAGAAATAAGGCCAGTGGAAATGAATGAAAAAGAGCGGGCATGCCATGTGATCGCACTCTTTATCTCTCCCTCAGCAGCCTCACTGTGAGAAATCCACTCTTGCCAGGCACACGCCTGCTCCCTTACATACTACAGATGCAGCACCGTCCTTTTCATTTATAAGAAAACACTTACTTTAATTTTCCTTCAAAGCACAGTGGAG